TGGGCACAGGACTAATTTAATACTAGAATGTTTATGAAGGGAAATTCCTAGGTTACTAGAACTTGACAAAAGAATGTATTTTCTAAGAACCATTTTTTGTAATATTTTTGTTTTTATTTGTTTTTTTTTAGAAATAGATGGCAGTAGAATGCATTTTGACATATTATAAATATATGGAGTATAACGTACTCTAATTAGGATCCCATTTTTCTTGTTCTACACGATGTGGAGTTTCACTGGTTGTGTATTCGTTTATGAACCAATTCATTCTACTCTCTTTCCTATTCCCATCCCTTCCCTCTTCAATTTTCTAAACATATTGTTTAGCAAAATAAATGAATTACAGTTGTAATATGCATGGTTTCTCAACTTTAAAAAAATGAATTTATTGTTACCTGAKAAAGAATATTTTCATATAATCCTTAAATATATGTATGAATTGAGTAATGAAGCTTTTGATTAAGAAAATTTTTAATTACTTATTCTTTTTCAATATTTGATAACTAAGGGACATTCATTTTATTGTACCTGAAAATAATCAAAAATATAAAAACCATAAAAATAAATTTAGGATGGATCTACATAATATTGTATTCATTTTCAGATTAACTTTTTAAAGACTGAAGTGGAAAGAAAGACCAAAATGATTCGAGACCTCCAGAATGAGGTAAGATTTATATCTCAGGAACATTTTTTATAAATCACAGAATACATATAAATATACACAGAAATTTGCTACAAGTTTGGAGGTTTGATCACATGCTGACYTGACCTTTGACTGATGAATAAAGGCGAGAAAACTTGAGGCTAGAAATTTCAAATAGTGAATAATTTCCATGATTATATACATTTGATAGTAGTATTAGTCTAAATTTCCCAGCTCATTTTTCTAATTATATTTTGTTAGGCTGATATTAAAATYGATTTTTATTTCATGAATTTAATGGTCTCTTAAATGATATCATAGGCACTGAAAAAAAAGCAAGGAGGAATTTGGTTGCAAAAAATAATCTGGAATGTAAAGTGCATTCCTGAAAAACTCAAATTCATAAACCAGCTATAATTTTTGACATAAATGAGCTATAACCACTTGCATGATAAATTTTAACATATGAGGCCCTGTTACCATGTTTTTCTTGTCTTTTATTATATAATTACTGTTTTTCTGATTTGATCACCTTTTTTATTTCCATTTAAGTGCAATTATGCAATTCTGATCATCAATTACTAAATAGTAACAAATCTTAYTTGAATAATTCCACTAACTATGGCCTATTTTGAATCCCAAATCAATATTTTTTAGCACACATTGTTCTTCCTTTCTTCCTTTCTGTCTTCATTATTATTCATTCTTTATTCCCTCCCTCTTGTTCTTTTCCATTACTTTTACTTTTTTTCTAGATATTTTAAACAGCAAATGAACTTTATTATTTGCAAATGGCTTCCTTCTTGGTATTCAAACTCAAAAATAATCTTTGATATTTGGTACCAGTATTCTACATTTATACCTGTATTATGACTTTAAAAGACTAAAATCTGGAAAAGTTGTACAGAAGATTAGAAAGCAATAACAGTTCAACTTTGTTTTAATGATTCTATTGCATTTTAATTTTGTTCCTAATGATTTCTTTTTTGCTGAGTCTTCTCAAGCAAGTGTTCTAGGATGTACACTGTATTTTCTAGATTTCTTGACTAAGGTGATAACTTTCAGCAGATCAGAGTTATCAGAATATTGAATATTCTGGATAAATACCTGTTTATTAGGGTACAGTTAAAGCTCAGTGAAAGATTAAATTACTCAACTCAAAAAAAAAAGTGAAAGAGGAGAAGGAGGAGGGGAAAGAAGAAGAAGGAGGTGGAAGAGGGAAGAAGAAGGAGGTGGAAGAGGATAAGGGCCAACAGATAATTTAAAGCAAGGTAAATGTTTAAAACAATGTTAAAATAAGCACTAAAATATGATAAGAAGTATGTTTGCAGCTGCACACCACATGCACAGACACATACACACACAGCAATAAGAACCCAGCTACTAGAGAAGAGGATATTGGGTTCATTAGTATATTTGTAAGTAATATCAGTTAACTTCTAATCTAAGATGTTTTTTAAAACTCTAATATTCAATTTAGGAAAAAGAATTTTGAAAAATAGAAGTTTAATTTATTCCTAGTAAGTAA